AAGAGGGAGTTGAGCAATGATCCCGGTAACTTCAGGCTATTGAAACTGGGATAGCTTCCACCAGGATGAAACTTCAATCTATTTCAATTCATAAGCTGACTGTAAGCTTATATAACCCTGTAGGTAATATCAGACTATAAGTATTGACCTCTTACAAGCATTCACTCACAATACAGCAATAGTACTGTCTAAGAGCTGAAAAATATCTTATATTAGTTACAGAGCAGCTGAATTGAGCCATTATTTAATATTTTGAACCCATCAATGAAAGTGATCCACTAATTCGCTTATGGTGATCACCCAATGCGAGGTATGAGCACACTTACGTCCAATGTGCCGTGAGCCATTGTGCGGAGTGGAGTGGATGTTTCTCATGGCACGGTTCGAGGTTCTGTTGATTCAAAGCTGATGTGCTGGTGCCAAATTTAAAGCAACCTCAGCAAGCTGGATCGACTTCTTCAATGACACACTCTGTTCAGGTGAATGGTTAGGATAAGTTTATGAAGTCCATTCCTATTCATTTGAAAACCTTTGTTTCCTTACTTTCTCGGAAGCGAGCCAGTCTATTTCGAGATGCCCTGGGCACGACTCTAGCTTACTTGTTTGGAAAGTGAAAACGGCTATGCTTTTCATTTTCCAGCTTGAAGACAGAAACGACTGACATAGGAATAAGGAAGGGAGGTAATTCATGCATTTCTTTCTCTTTTACTTTAAGTACTTAAGGATGTTTTAAATATATACAGTATCTTGAGGATGGAAGATGAAATTATCCTAGCCTTCTCGTTACTTTGATGTTTTCGTCTGCCGCGCAAACGAGACTCTGGAGACTTGCTAATTCCGGAACAAAGTGACCCAAAAAGAGACGCCACCAGTTCTCGTTTGTCTCGTCCTTCAAGACTGAAACTGCACATTTACCTCAACTAGGGTTCCTGCATACGTCCATAAAAATTATTAAATAGAGTACTCATTTGTCGGATCGACAAAACGCAAAAACATATCTACAATGTGATAAAGTCCCAATACCTTTGATTTTGAAGACACGATTGGACTGAATTTCACCACCGCGACGCGAAAATTCCCTTGCCACGTTTGTACATAAATGTTACTACAAGTGCACGTTTCATCATTTATGTATCTTCTGGGAATCAGCTTTCACGGAAGTATTCAAATTAGCGTAATCACTGGGATGACTGGGAGGTGCGTGCACGACTTCCGGTGAAAGTTGTAAGAGCATCTTGAAAATTTAGCTGGGCATGGACCTCTGGGATGAACAGTGGAATAGAGGGGGTTTCGCGAACTTCCGGTCTTGTGGATTTTCAAGATGAAAACTTTAATTAGTTTGCAGAAACATGCATAGTATGCCCGGCTGCTTCGCAAAGTATACGTATTTTCCCTGAATTTTTATTGCGTTTTTTTTTT